AAAAAAAAAACATTTCAGTTTGATATCCAACAGGTTCACAAAACTCTCGTAACATTTGTAAAAGCTTATTTTTGTCTCCAGTTTTCTCCCACTGAACCACCACTTAACTAGTTGAAAACATTCAAACATTTCACCTGTTCCTGTGATTATTTTCTTACTTGTAACATTTTAAGAAACATCTACAATTTGTTCATAAACATCTAAAAAAAAATAACCTATTATGGAAACCGATGTGAATAAGTTATCAATATTATTAAGCTCATAAAAAGTTATATTAATAGGTTACTCCTATAAGTAAAAAATGTTATTTAGTTAAAAAAAATGTTTAAAAACTTTAAAACAGACACTTTGAGTAAGAAACAACCATTTATCACATACATTCTTTGATCTATGTTCACACATTGTGTTTTAAACCATTATACTAAGCTGCAGGTGGGATTCTGTCGTTTAATTTCACTGAGTTTGTTGTGAAGTCTGTCTGCCACGGAGCTGAGGTCAGAATCTCTGAGCGTTTTGGGAAGTTCCTTCAGCTGATGTACCGGAGCCTGGGCCAGCCAGCTTCTGATTTGGTCCAGCAGAGGGCCTCTCTGCCTCGTAAAAGACATGTCCACATAGTCCTCGTCTGACCTGTGAATGATTCTGAACCAAGAACAAAACAGAAGTGGTTTAATTTTAGATCAGCAATAAAGACAGGAGAGAAAGTGACAGATGAGCGTGGCGTTAGAAATAAAAGGGAAGCATGACGCCTCACCTGTGAACAAATCTTTTYAGATCTCTTCTTCTCATCTTGTTCGAGCTGATGACCCCCAAGAGGAAAGCCCTCAGCGTCTCACCTGAGAGAGAAAGAAACAACTTAAAAAAACATTTGTGGATGAATCGTCAATTATTCCTGTTTTACGTCTCATCCAGGTACTTTTTCAAATCAAAATCAATAAAATGGAAATCCATGCTTGAAAACTGAACACACATGCAGATCATTTTCCCTTCCCTCCCTTCTGATGGTGTTTGGATTATAATGACCTCTGTCATGTGGCTAACAATGACCTTAACTACCCTCAGGAAGAAGGGAAGGAAGAGTGATTTAATGCGAGTTGAGCTTTATGTTCATCTCTTCCAATGAGTTGAAAAATGTTAAAAAATAAAAAAGTACCACTTTACAATAAGGCTCCCCTTATAGATGGCTTATAAATACTTTATAGATTCATCAGTAAACACTTTATACATCATTATTAAGTGTTTATTATGCATTAATTAAGGACGAATAAGACAAAACTGTCCGGTTTTTGGTCAAATAGTGAGCCAAATCTGTTTATGTACATTACATCTAAAGTGCTATATTAAACATTTCAGACTAGGCTAATACCTTGTAAACACAATAATGTATTGGAAACACATATTTTAATATAATATTGCACTGTTTTAAACATATCCACAACTATCAAACATGTATATCTTATTGTGAAGTGTAAGACTGTACACTATTTATTAGGCTCCATTATGACACTTATACACATTTATTAATCATTAATAAATAGTGTACCTACTGTAAATATGTGTTTCCAATACATTATTGTGCTTTCAAGTTAACCTAGTGTGAATTGTTTAATATAACACTTTATAATGTACATGAACAGATTTGGCTCACTATTTAGCAAGAAACCAGACAGTTTTGTCTCTCTTGTTCTTAATGCATAATAAACACTTATTAATGATTTATAAAGTGGTTACAGAAGAATTAATAACCTATCTATAAACTATTTACAAGCCTTCTATAAGCGGAGCCTTTTTGTAAAGTGGAACCAAAAAAGTAACTCTAATCACATTATTTAAACCTCTTTAGGTCCTGGAACTGACACCAACATAATTTGTAGACTTTAAAGTGCTGCCATACAACAACGATTGTAGAAATTACACACACCTCCGTTTGTAAAGTCCTCACAGGTGCCACACACGGTGTCGTGGACTGATGAACCGTTGAGGAAAAGCAGCTGACGGTCAGTGCAGTTTTGGTGTTGTACACACACATCCATTGCAGAAGAGGAGTTGGAGAAATAACCCGTGGAGCACCTTTCACAAACAGTGTCCTTTTGTGGCGTACCTATACAAGATAAACACAAAGGGTTAATTAATTATTATCTTTATAAATGCTGCAAACTGTGAACACGTTTAGATTTTCTCAGCAGTCTCACCTTTGGTCTGAACTCCGTGCCCGAGGCCGCACTCCGAGTGTCTCATGCAGAAGTCGTCCATCATGTAGAATCCCGCTTTGCAACGACAGACCCTGTTGCTGACCGGAGAGCACTCGGTCTCCACTTCCTGGTTCTGTGTGCAGATGTTGTTGCAGTACAGACACCTGGGCAGGTAGTTCCACAGCTCGGTGAAGTGGTCGCTTCTGCAGGGCGCGCATTTTGTGGGCGCGGTGGCGGTGCAGTGAGCGGCCAGGTGAGTGCCAGGCGGGCACCTGTTGCACGTGAGGGTCCCGCCTGTAAACGGGTTCTGATGGTTATAGGTGGGAACGGGCTCTGATGCCGAGGTGACTCCGTGGAGCAGGACCAGGAATGTCAGAAAGAGCTGTGGGAAGGACAGAGATAAAAGTGATGTGCAGATCGATACTGAAATATCGATACTACCGATACCAGAACTTTATGCTCTAGAATCGATACTAAAATCAAAATATCGATACTTTGATCCTTCAGTTATTTTCCATAATGTATACCATTAACAGGAAAATTGTGGAAAATAACTAAGCTGTTCAAATCTTGTTTAAATCATATGTGGTTGCAGGGAACTACTTTTTCTTCCGCTTGGGTAATACATAAGCACAGAGCACGTGCTTAGTCAGTCACTCAGTCTACATGTATGGCAGGTCATTTTAACATAAAATCTGCTTCATCTGACTGTAGTTACATTTTAGATGTCCCCCCAAATAGCATTAGTGCTGGCCAAGGATCTTGCAAAATCCACAAACAACACTACAAAATATACAAAGTAACAACTTTTAGAATGTTTTTTCTCACTTTTATTCAAAAATTTTTATATTTCTTTAGAATAAGAATTTTAAATTGTGCTAAACAAATATAGGGTTAGGATTAGAAAGACTTTTAAATAAATAAATAAATTACTATGTCATGTTTTATTTTTAAAGCGGCTATTTGAGGAACGCTAGTTTTTAATATTTACCAGACACATTATGTGTGTTATCACAAAGTATCAGGATCGGCGATACCAGGCAAATCTTACTCGGTATCGGAAAGAAAATTGGCAGTATCGAACATCACTACTAGCTACCCCACATAGCTTACAGGTGTGGGCCAAAGCTGGTGTCCAGCTGGCCCTGCTGGCGTGGGAAGTGATTTGTCAACCGGATGTGGGTGTTTTTAAGATGCCACAACTGGCCCAATTCTAGTTTGGTTTATGTGGTGCTGGCAAACCAAAGGGCCATCATTCTTTGCAGTGTCTGTGCAGAGTGAGACTAATTTTGCTGTGTGGGATGTCTGTGCTGGTTGATGCTGACAAGTTGTAGCTCTGCTTCTTATCTAAAGCGGTAGATTACATCATCTGAAGCGAGGTTCTGAACAATTTCTGTCCTTCCTGTAACAGATTTTAGTTTGGATACATTAATTAATTCTGACTGAACTGGAGATGAAACTAATGCCAAAACTAATTAAACCATTTTACTGGTGAAGTTTTAGCCCTGTTCAAAAGTTCAGAATTGTCAATTTAAAGTTATGAACCAGATAACAACTTCAAGACATAGGAAACCTTTTTACTACACTATATTGTTTTGGTAGTCTCAGAAACTGTTGAATTGTCTTCTTTACAATGAATTTACTATTTTTTTTATCTCAGTCAAGATTAATATTTGCACTTCCTACAGCAGAAGCTGAAAGCACTTGACTTAAAACTGATGATCTGCTGATTTAAAAATCGTCTTATAACAGCTACATTTCCTCTGTGTAGTCAGAGATAGAGCTAACATGGATGATCCTGTCTTTTTAGACAATATTTTAAAAATTATTAAAAGTATCGGTTCTGATCAAACCCGACATTTAGCTCCCACATCAATTTCTCTAAGTTCAGTAACACTAAGACCAGATATAATAAATTAAAAAAAACTTTAATTTTATAACAAATCACTTTGAGAGTTAAATATTTCTTTACATTCAAACACATTTGACTCCACCAGAGTAAGCTGATAGAGAAATCAATGCTGTAAATATTACAGACTGGCAAAGTTTTCAGCTATTAATCATAATAAAACACATGTTTTCCCCTTAAATATAACCACTTTTTAGTTGCAAAATCCCAGTTCCATGGATACTCACCATGATTGTGATGTCTTCACTTCTGTCAATGAGGCTTTGACAATGAAACCAGGTTCATTCATTCATTTTTATAGTAACTGGTTCTGTGTGGGTGTAGGTAACTTCAGCTGTACGAAAAGGTCAACTTCCTCAAAGACAGGAAATAAAGTGCAAACAAATCTAATGATGAGGAAATGTTAGACGTAAATGGAAGAAGTCTACACGTGATCGTAGCCCCAGGTGAGTGTTATTTAAAAGTCATTTAGGTTTTTCATTGATAAAATCAACAGTTTTTTTAAAAACCTTAATGTGTTGTGTCACATCTGGTCAAATTCCCATGTCAAAACCAGTTCCTCTCGCAAAATCATAAATCATACAGTAAAAAAAAAACAAAAAAAAAAACAGTTTGAGCAACTTACAGAAATAGTCGGGTAAATTTTAAAGTGATATTTTTAAAACAGCCAATTTTAGTGAGCGCCTAGTGGTATCAATCAGTGTCCTCATCCAGCCAAGAGCACAGTATTTTTTCCCCACTCAAAAAAATAAATAAATAAAATAAAACAGATGTAGTGGATTTAATAAAAAAATTAAAAAGTTTAATAGAATTGTGATTTTTTTTTTTTTACAATGCTTGTGTATTTACAAAACTGAAGTGTTACCAGCTTCAGGATGAGCAGAGGTCAAAATAACAAAATGTAATCCATCTTAATGTTTATCTTATCTAATTTACAAAAATAAAATAGAAATCGAACTCAGGATTCTTTAATGCTAAAGCCACAAAAACACAGAAAAATCTGAAAGAACTCACAGCTCACTGACAAACTCCTCACAATACAATCACAAACAACTAAGGCTGACGTGGGACATCACATCAGGTGTGGCTGGATTGTTTAAAATCTGTCTTGCTTCTGTTGGAGAAATCCTGTATATGCATGCTTGCTCACAACCGCACACAGACAAGTGTTCAGATCCGAGGGGTTCTGAATGATCACCAGATATATATACACTCACCGGNTTTTTTTCTCTATTGTAATTACAGAGGAGGAGAAAATTGAGCCCTCCTAAATTTGAGAAGATGTAATCTGGGAAAATATTCCACATGGAGGATGGATTTTTCAAATATGACTTTATCAAGCAAAATTTAAAGAACATCTTTCTAAGTTGTTTTTGGATATAATTATGCCTAAATATGTGTTACACTTTCTTTAACAGGAATATTACATCTAAATTCTAAATTACAATTTTTGACTGGTAAAAGTTCAAATCTTTTTAAATTCATGTGAAGTCCTGAAACATCAGAAAAGGTTTGGATTAAATTTAAAGCTGGTGAAACTTGACTTTTGTCTTTTAAAAAAAAGTGTAGTATCATCAGCTAACATACTAATTTGAATTTCTTTACCAAAAACAGCAATACCTTTTAGTTGATTTATAGAAATGTAATCAATTAGCGGGTGGCTAAAAAGGAAGAGATAAGGGGAAATTGGACACCCCTGCCTAATTCCTCGATTTAGATTGAATCTAGGGGAGGTACCATTTTTTTAATTTGGCAGAGCAATTAGCATTTTTATACGTTTTAATTGTGTTACAGAAGAAAGGACCAAATCCAAATTTATGAAGATAACTAAAGATAAAATTGTGATTAATAGAATCAAATGCTTTGTAAAAGTCTAAGAAAGAGTATGAAGCTATCATCAGTAATTAAATCTGAATAGTCTAGGATATCAAGAACAAGTCATATATCATTGGAAATGTGTCTATTTTGCATAAATCCAGATTGTACCTCTCCAATAATCAGTACTGATTTAATTCTTTTAGCAAAAACGGATGCCAGCATTTTGTAATCGTTGTTTAAAAGACAGATAGGAGGATAGGATATTTTATTTTCTTAGGCCTTTTTGACTTTTTTAAAATCAGAACCAAACTGCCTTAGGAACTTTGCAGTCTCAAATTTAAATAGTTCCCAGTTGGTACCATATTTATTTTCAGTGTTAGCTTTTTAAAAAAAAGTAAGAGATTGTTTGGGAGAATTTTTTTGTACTGAGTGTATTTTAAGTAATGAATTGTTCAAAATCCAGTAGGCTTTTCTTTTCTGTGATCAGTTTTCAGT